GATTTTGCCTCAAAACCCCTACACCCTAAACCCTTAACCCAGCTATCTATCTCTATATATATATGTATAAAATGGAAAGCTTGCCAAACTCCGCAGGTCAATGCCCTAAACAAACACACCCTAAATCACAAATCTTTTGTCTGAGACCGCGACGAAGCAGTGTTGGAGAACCTGCAGGGCGAGTGGGGAACGACTTTGAACCCGACACCGCGTGGTGGTAAGCTTTTGTTTGGATGCTTTGGGCTCTTGAAAGTCTCGGCGCTTGGGGGGCTCCCGTATGGTAATTTAGGGATAGGTATTTGGTCAGCACGTATCCCATAATCCCTACTAGGAAAGTGCTTTTGGCTATTAGGGGGTACCGTAATCTCCACTGTGACATTTGAGGGATCATGCTCTTGCTCTTGATCTTGCTCGTGCTCTTACTCCTGCTCTTGCTTTTGGTATTGTGCTGTTGCTCCTGCTCTTGTACTTGCTCCTGCTCTTGCCGTTACTGCTACTCTTGCTCCTGCTCCTCCCTCAACCCTCAACCCTAAACCCTAAACCGACACCCTCTTTGGGGGCCGCTGTGCCTCCTGACCCCTCCACCCTTCGACCCTATGAGTCGGGTGCTGAAGGTCCAGGCGACATCTTGTAGCTCAAAGGACTAAAACCTGGTTGGCCCTTTAAAGCCTCTGAAAAGTAGGGTCCTCTTAAGCCCAATAAGGAAAATATAAAATATCCCAAAGACCTACCTAGAAAATCTTGTTGCTCCAGGACTTTGTAGGAACAAGGCGAATAAGGTATCAGAAATGGAGAATGTTGATTGGAACTGAAGACCCTAAACCCCCATGCCCGCTCTCGCCTCAGTACCCCNNCCCAAGCCCTGAACCCTGAACCCCTAAACAACCCTTAAGCCTTAAACCCCTAAAAACCCTTAAGCCCTAAACCCTAAACCCTAAGCCCTTGAAGCCCTAAACCCCTACTGAACCTCAGAAACCCACAAACTCCCAAACTTGGCTGAAGGGCCTGTGGATCCGCTCGGACTTCATGAAGCCTTCGACCTGCTGTTAGTTAAAGAAAACTACAGGTGGGGTTTAGGGTTTAAGGCTTTGGGGAGTTTCGGGTATTATAGGGCTTCCATAAGGCTTCTATACGGTATATAGACGTTCTATAAGGCTCCTATAACGGTAACTACCCACCTGAAAATGTCTTGGATTCTATGACAAACCGGTAAAAATGAAGGGTTTCAGGGTTTCGAGGTTTCGAGTTTGAGGGCTCAGGGCCCCACTGGACCCTACAAAAACCTATATCTCCAGGACTCCCTTTAATCATGCCGTTATATACAAGTCCTTACAAAGGTAGGTTGCTTTGCGTAGGGGTTTGCAGGTTTGATGGGTATGAAAGTTTGGTGGCTTGAGGGAAAGGTTTCGGTCGCTCGGAGTTTTGGGCTTCAGGGGTTTCGTGGCTTCAGAACTGAAGTCGTTGAGAGCTTATGAGGTCCGAAGGCCCGAAAGCATGGTTTAGGGTTTAGGGGTTTAGGGTTTGGGGTTTAGGGGTTTAGGGTTTAGGGTTTTAGGGGTTTAGGGATTTGGGGTTTAGAGGTTTAGGGATTTAAGGGTTTAGGGTTGAGGGTTTTAGGGTTGAGGGATTCAAGGGTTTAGGGTTTTGTAGTAAATCCGGCGAACTCAGGACGCCTGTACATCTATCGAAGTACACCGAAGCAAGACTCCAGAAACCCGGAACCCGCAAGCGCGATGCCACTAGCTCCTCTGAAGCCTTCCGCTTTTTCTAGGACGGCTTGGGGCTCCGGGTCTAGGGTTCAGGGTTCAAGGTTCCGGATTCAGGCTTCAGGTTTAGGCCTGAATAGTTGATTTGGGCTCTTGGGGTACCTGACTGTCTAAGTATAGAAGGACTAGAACTAGAAGATGATATAAGGGTGTTGTGTCAGTAACCATTCCGACCCTATATTACGTGTGCTGGTTTCATGAACACAAACCGCCTCTCATGATTGCTGTGCGATTAGGTCTTCTGAGCGCGGGGCCTCTTTCCAAAATGCATCTTTGAGTGCTTGGAAACGGTGCCTGGGCTATACCCGACGCGATCGGAATGGCGGGTTGCGTTCAGCGTGGAAATACTGCCATTCAGAACTTTAACGCTTGCTAGTATGCTGTAGCTGTTCATGATAAACCCTAAACCCTAAACCCACTGCATCTGATCCGAAAGCTGGGCTTGCGCAGCTCAGCCGTACTTAAACCCGCGAGCCGCTTAACCTTGGCGACCATAGCAGGATTATCGTACCCCAACAAGGCTACAGTATAGGAGCCTCAGCAGTTCGACTAGGGTTTCAAGCCAGATTTACTACATGCATACGAAGATACCGTAGCAAGAGTTTGTAAAAGAAATCATACTGGTAGCTTTTGATTCAAGCCCCTGTTTTAGGTTGCTTTCTCCTCTCGCCGAAATGCCATAGAGGAGGCAAGATGAGAGCTGCTTCCACAGCTGTGCGAGCCCAAGTAAAGACCACCGACCTCTATTATGAAAAAACCCTACCTTAACCCCAAATAACCCTACCTTTTTAAGGACTTTTATAAAGAATTCATAATTCATATTAAGGAACCCTAAAACAGTATAGGTTCTTTAGGGTCCAGGTAGTATCCCGTACCCAAGAGCACCTCTTATCAGGTCCTCGGGGCCATTGAAGGACCTTTAGGGGGTCCTTTTTTTAAGGGTCCTTTTTTTTAAGGGTCCTTTTTTTAAGGGTCCTTTTTTTAAGGGTCCTTTTTTTTAAGGGTCTCTTTCAACGGGCTCATAAGGCTCCTCTAAGGCCTCCTTCAGGGCTCCTTGAGGGTGGGCGCCCTGATGACTGGAAGAGGGCTTTGTTTTCATATTCTAAAAAGGGTATTAGTTGCAGTATGGATCCCGAGGGAATACTAGTCTATTCTTTAAGGGCCCTACATTGTGGCAGTGAGCCGCTTGAGTAAAACTTACATACACACAAAACAAGCCTAAAACCGACATGACCACTTCATTGCGGTTTATATATAAGTCCTTCATTGCCCTAAATCCTAAACCCTCAAAAACCTTATAACCTCTTCGCGAAAAACCCTTGACTTGAATTTTTTGACAAACCCCAAACTAGAATCTCAGAAACAACAAGGTAACAAGAAACCCTCCAACCAGTATACAAAGCAAGACCAATAATGACAAATCCGTAAAAACCTTACAACCTCTTTATCGAACCATTCGAAACCCTAAATAGAAACCAAATTTACAAAACCCGCCCACTCTTCTCATAAAAAAACCCTTTGCAACAACCCTGCCAAGCCGAGAAATTGGCTGAAGGTGGGTGGATGCCAGGTCCATGATTCTCACGCGCCACTGAGAAGTGGGGAGGGTTAGGGGTAAGGGCTCCGGGGGCTTGAGAGTTTGGGGATTTAGGGCGTTTTAGGGCTTTGGGGGTTGAGGGTGGGGCAATTTAGGGATTTAGGGCAGGGGCTTGCCTGGGTTTTGAGGGTTATCCCTAAACCCTCAAACCCTAAAACCCTAAACCCTAATCGGGCTTTAGTGCTGTTTAGGGGTGTATGGTTTGGGGTTTTCGGCTCTGGGACAACTAGGCTTTTTTTGGTTCAAGCCTGACCTGGACCCTCTAAAAACCTTCCCTTTTTCGGTGTTCCCTATATTATGAGTTCCTGATGCAAATAATTGAAAAAGGGGTAGGCCCTTTTGGGGCCCAGGACTGGTTTGGGGCTTTAAGTTGGTTATGTTTTGGTTTTTTGGGGTCTCGGGCCCGGCCTGTTTCTTTTGGTGTTCTTTGGGGCTTTCGGGTTGGGGGTTTGGGGGGTTTAGGGCTTTATGGCTTGGGGTTCTAGGGTAGGAAACCTGGGGCTTTGAAGGGTTTAGGGTTTAGGGATTACCCATAGGCTCCTTAGTAGTTCCTTTTTTGGGATTACCTTATAGGATTCTAAATATGAACCACAAAAAGGAACTACTTAGGAGCCTATGGGTAGTGGGACATTAGAGTGAGGGTTACGGAGTGTTATGGTAATACATATTCTCATGCAAGGCCTTAGTTGATGACGAGTTTGTAGTTGTCATTCATCAACGTCCTCGCATTCTTGGATGAGTCTGCCCCTAAACCCTGGTGAAGGGTTCCCTTGCCTTCGCAAATTGTGTTTGGGTGTTGTCGGGGCTTATAATTTGGGGGTGTGGAGTTCTGTAGCCTTATCTACGTGTCAGGGTCAGCAGTGGGGGAATGAGCGAATGGCAACGGTAACTCAAGTCAAAAGCTCACGTGCAAGGTCAGTAGGCCCTTCGAGGCTTTTGCCGCTTGGGCTTTGTAGCCTTTCCTGCTCGACGCTGGTCAGGCCACAAACCACGGACATGAAAAAATCCTGAGGATCCTTGAGACTGCTGTCGAAGGGAATCTCAGGGGGCACCTTCAGGTACAAGTCTGACTCCATGTACCGCAGTTTCAGCTCCTTCTTCCTGTTCTTGTCGTCAGAGGCCGGGACGCGGCGTTCCAGCGTCCAATAGCTGTAGGAGATGTGACTCTTCAAGGCCTGCGCTCCGTGGGTTGGCTAAGTATCAGGGGAGGGTGCACTGGCTCGTGGCCAAGGTGACACTCGAATTATGGGCAGGGGATATTATGAATTATAAATGAGTTGAAATTGCAAATCTTGAATGAACACTCAAATTCTTTCGGGCTTGGGGAACCGTCTGAAATCCATGACATGGGCGAACGATCGCCCCGAAGCGAAAACTCGGATGTCTGCGAACCCGTAACTCTTCTCTGCAAGGAGCAGACTGCGTTCAAGAGGAAAAACCCTTTCCAACCTACTTCTGGTCACTTTAAACTTGAAACACCCTGCCTTCAAATTGTACAACCTCAACTCGCCTCAACCTTGCGCCTTCAACCCGACCTATGCAACTTTAAGCCTAAGCCATAGACCCCTCCATTAGGGCTTATAGGGTTTAGAGCCAAATTCCCCCGCAACTTGAAGCCCAAAATCGCTGACACTACCCTAAACGTCTGAAAGCATCACGCCCTCCCACTGCTTTTCTCGGGCCTTCGTGACGTGCTCAGGCACCTCTACTTGCTTGTCCTTCTCTCGGAAGTAGATGCCCTGCGACAGGCTTTCATGGAGGCCCCTAGAGGAACCACCAAAAGGCTATATAAAGGCTAAAAGCGGCTAAAGGTAGGGTTTTTAATTATATAGGGTATAGGGTTTAGGGTTTTAGGGCGGCTAAAGGTTAGGGTTTCGGGTTTAGGGTAATTGCTCTACTAATAACATGCTCTTCGAGGTCTGATTGTCCAAGATGGGCTTCTACAGGTCAAGGTGTGGAGCCGTATGGACCTTGCAAAGGCACAATGTCCAGGCCGTAAGACAAAATCCCCCCTAAACTCTAACCCCAAACCCTAAACCCAAACAGAGGGCCCCCCAAAACCCGAAACCCCTAAACCCCCAACAGAGGCTGCTAGCCTTGATCGTGCAGAAGAGGTCGACAATCGTCTCGAAAGGCCAATCCTGGCACCGAAAGAAGCTTCAGGGTTCTAGCTTGGGTGTGGGTTTAGGGTTTAGGGTTTAGGGTTTAGGGGGTTAGGTTTCAGGATTCTAGCTAGGGTGTGCACTACGTATAGTTAAAGCATATATGCGCGGACCTCTTCTAGACAAAGCTCGAAGAATCAGAATACAGCAGTCTAATTTGCAAAAGTCCTTGAGAGTGCACATGCGGAGATCTATTTACTTACAACATGTACGGACTTATACCGGGGGAAGAGAATGCTTGAATCAATCATATGGTATACCCACAGGCTCCTAAGTAGTTCCTTTTTGGGGATTACCTTATAGTACAAACCACAAGAAGGAACTACTTTGGAGCCTATGGGTACCCTACAAGCACCAGTACAGAAGCAAAGCGAGAACCCCTTGCTTCAATCCCCTTAGTTGATCGTCCCCAGAGATGAAGCCTTGCAATTGGTCTTGCCAGGTTATTCCATTAGCTGGTTGCCTGTTGGGGCCATACTCAAAATTCTCAAATTTTAACCCTTATTTAACAAAAATGTAAAATTGTATCCAACAAGGGCCCGGTTAAGATGGAGCGCGCTCACTCATGAAGGCAAGCGGCCTAGATCCTTATACAGCCAGGCCTTTGTAGGGCCCTTCAACCAAAAACAATCTTCTCCACTAGCCGGGCCCCGAAACAAAAGTCAAAGCTTCTATCAAAGACCAAATTATGTAAGGCCAAAACGTTCAAAGCTCTCCCTTGGCTAAGCAGCAGCCCCAAAGCAAGCAACCGCTTCCATGAAATCTTGTAAGCCTTTAAACCCCCAACTCGGAGCCTTACCTTGATCCCTAAACCACGTGAATCCCAGAAAAAAAGACCCTAAACCTCAAACCCGAAACCCTACACTCCTAAACCCTAGCCCCTAAACCCCCCAAACCCCCCAAACCCCCTAAATCCCCTAAACCATGAAACCCTGTGTTCCCGAGCGACAAACTCCACATCCGTGCCTTGAACTGCCAGTCGGCACCGTCAGTGACGACGGCGACCACCCTCTTCCATTGTCCTTCAGGGTTTAGGGTTTAGGGTGTGGGGGTTTTAGGATGTAGGGGTTTAGGGTTGTCCTTTGGGGTTTAGGGTTTAGGGTGTAGGGGTTTAGGATGCAGGGGTTTAGGGTTGTCCTTTGGGGTTTAGGGTTTAGGGTGTAGGGGTTTAGGATGCAGGGGTTTAGGGTTTAGGGCTCAGGGTTGAACGGGTTAGGGTTCAGGACGTAGGGCTGTAGGGTTTAGGAGTCGTGGGGGCTTCAGGGTTTTGGGGGTTGTTTGGGGCTTAGGGAGTGGGAGTCGGTTCGGAGACTGGGAGGATGCCACTTAAGAAAGAGCTTGGGCAAGGATTCTTGCTGAGCCAAAAGTAAGGGAAGTACTTATTAGACCAGAATGTAGAGTTTCTATGGTGGGGTTTGCGGCCTAAAGTTTAGGGGTAAGTTCCTTTCTGGTAGAATGTAGGGTTTCTATATTGCAACCATCATGATGATTTGGGAAAGTATCATCCGGAACTGTACCTAGGACCTGTTGGGTAAGCCTTACTAGCTAGAGCTGGCTCTTACGGGTTCTCGGAGCCCATGTGGAAACCTGCTCCTAACCATGGGTACTGGCAGTACTGACTCTCAACCTTTGAAATCACCATCCTCGACTCACCCGACGCTGCTGCACTCAGAGATCCAGATGATCAGCCCTCAGCCCCAATGCAAGGGCCAGAAAAAATAGTACCTGTATTACTGTCCCCTCTTACAGTCCATACAGCACCATACAAGACTATCATAGTAGAAAACCCTACTCAAGTGTCCGCACAGAGTCCCTGTAAAATTGAAAACTCCATGCCATAGTCTGAGCATGCCTGATGAATTCGTAAGTTGCCTATTTCAAAGGCTAAACTCCCACACCTGAAGCCCGAAAACCGAAACTCTAAACATTAAACCCTAAACCCTAGCCGCTCCCATAGGAACGTAAGGAGAGTCGTCAGGACACGCGTCGAAAGAGGATAGAAAAAACTAATAACAATAATAAGAACAATAAAATTACAATAATAATAATAGTAATAATAATAAATAACAATAAATAATAACAATAGTAATAGTAATAGTAATAGTAATAGTAATAGTAATAGTAATAGTAATAGTAATAGTAATAGTAATAGTAATAGTAATAGTAATAGTAATAGTAATAGTAATAATAATCGAGTTTGTCGCGCCTGAGATGTGCTACAAGCAACCTTTCACCCTAAACCCGAAGCGGCGGCTTTCATGCATGAGTCTGCGTCCCTAAGGCTCCCCGTACCTATATAGTATATACCTAGGCCTCAACGTACCTATGTAGGAACCCTTTAAGGCATAAGTATATATTAAAAAGATGGGTACATGGAGCCTTTCCGAGAGTCGGCGCCCCACCCCCAAACCCCCTGGGCCTCGAAACCCCCTTACTTTTAGCACTAAGCCCGTTTACAAAGCCTGCCAACGCAAGCTCCACTAAACCTGAAGCCCTGAAGCTCCGAAGCCTCGAGTCAAAGTTTAGGGTTTAGGGGTTTTAGGCTTTCGGCTTTCGGCTTTCGATGCTGAAGAGTCTGTGTCAGACGCAGCACTAACCAGCTGTACAAACAAATGAAGAAGGGACAAAAGCGTCCAAGTCAAAAGCATGCATCAAATTAGGCCAACAGTGTCAGCTGACCTCCGAAGCCGAGCTCTGAATTGCATCCACCCATCTCGAGATGGCTGGAGACATCCAGCGTGAAGACCAGACGTCGGCAGACGGAGGATGCTCTGCAAGGCCGGCCGCCACCTCTGCGATGGGCATCGTCACCGGAAGGAGGGGGCCGTACAGCCTGGCAGCAGGGAGTCGTGCGAATTCCGGCACCGAGGGGGCCACCTCATGTACCTCTGGCAGCTCGTGCTCCAACATACGCGCTAAACACTGCGCCGAGTCATGTAGGTGTCGCACGAGGCGATCCCTTGTCCAAAAGCGTGTGAGACACACGCAACAAGTCGTCCCCGCAGCCATCCTGCGCACGTCACACTGTACGCCATGGACAGCGAAAGTCAGCGAATTTATGCGCAGCAAGTTGTTGGCAGGACGCAAATGAGCGAAGACACTGCTCACACGAGAAGGGGGTGGAAACCGCCTCCTGTGACTGCAGCGCTGGCATAGGCATCCAGGCTTGCTCATAGGCGTCCTGGTTCCATGCACGCACAGCTTTACGGACCGAGCACCTGAAGGCGGCAGGCTCGTGAAGGGACCACTCGGCCAGAGACAGGGGAAAGTCCTCGGCAACATGGGCCGGCATCATTTGCAAGCCAACAGCCCATAGCATGTCATTCCTAAGAAGACTGAGCCATGACTGCTCCGCATGGCGAAACTCGGCTAGCAGCAGGTCCAAAAGAGCCGGCTGGGTCAGGGCAAGCCTCTGGAAATGGAGCAATCGCTGCTGACGAAGATATACCCTCGGCGAGGGCAAGCCAAAGGCACGGCACACAGACTTTTCGTCAGGCAGCGTGGGTTGGCCGGTCCAGCGATCATCGCGTCCAAGGGACCTGGCCAACCGCACGAATCCGCGACACCACGCTTTGTCTTCAGCGCCAGTGAGGTGGCCCCAGGTGGCGCAGGTGGTGCTGGCACAAGAGAACGCCAGCGAGTTCAAGCACATGCGCCGGACTTTGAGGGGGATGCGGGCATCACGCAGGACAGGACGGCGCAAAGGCTTGATAGCCGAATGGGCCATGGACATATGGCGCAAAATATCCATGAGGTGCGCGGGCCGGTCAAGAACATAGCCTCCCAAATGCAGGTAATGACGGACACAATGTACCTGCTGGTCACCTTGAGGTGTGCGAAAGGGAAGCAGGCCGCCCATCCGCACAAGGAGGCGTTGCCTCCACGCGGGAGCGCCGACCCCTCGCAGAGAAAAGACAACCTCAGTTTTGCCTGGCGCGTAGTTGGGCTGCATCGCCCTGCGCAGGAACTCCTCATGCACGAGAGTGAGGCTACGCTGGGTCTTGTCAATCTGCGCCTCGGCCGTGGCTGCACATTGCAGTATTACTGAGTCGTCCGCCCAGGAGGGCGCCAGCAACTTATCCTCACCATAAGCCAATTGGGAGATGGCATCGTCAAGGAGGCCTGCAGCACGCAAGCGATCTCTGGTCGCGTTCATGAAGTCCGCTTGCACCAATGCAAAGAGGAGATCTGCAATGGAGTCGCCGGGTCGTGTACCGGCGAAAGTCTGGACCAGCTGGGTTCCACCCCGCATCACAAAATGCGTATTGGTAAGGAACTCCCGGAGCAATCGCTGCTGGTGCGGGGTAGCCCTTTCGACAAGGTGGGTACCTTGCAGCCACTGGCAAACGGTGTGAAAGGAGGAGGGTTCGACACCAAGGCGGTCGAGGATCTGGCAGACCTCCGCATCACTCGAGATACCTTGCTCAAACGCTTGCCGTACAACTCGGTAATAGGCACTGGCCACATCGATGAAAACCGCTGCCGCCGACATCTTAAGCGCCTTGGCCAGTGCACCATGAGTGCGCACAAAATGATGCGGACCTTGCAGCAGGGAACCAGGAAGTCCCCCTTGAAGGAATTCAGAAGGTTGCATGGCCTTGATGAGGGCCGGCCTCAGTTGCTTTCGGATGAGCTTGCCGGGACCACTCATCAGCGCAATCGCCCGATGGCTTTCCACCAAAGATGGAGAGCCTTTTCCCTTAAACAGCGAGATCAGGCAGGTGGACTTACAACTGATCGGCTCGCTGAGGCGCAAGTGAGTCTTAAGGCAAATGGGTAGGAGCAGCTTGGCGGAGCGCGCGGCATCAAGAGCCCAGACCCAATCTGGAATGCCTTCTGGGCCTGGTGCCTTGCCCTTTCGAAACGCCCGAACCGCGCTTTCGAGCTCTAGTAAGTTGGGCAAGTCAGCAATAGCAAAGCGGGCATCGACGGCAACCGGAGAACTGGTCTTGCAAAGAGCTTCAGGGGTGCATGTCACTCCAGCTTCAAGTTTCGCAAAGTGTGCTTGTTGCGCCAGCACGCGATCCTCATGTGTTTCTTCGGCAGCAAGAGCAACCTTGAGCGAGGAGAAGGGCTTCAAAACCTTCTTCCCAGGAGGGCGAAGCACCCTCAGCGCGCGGAAGAAGTCCTTGGCTGCAAAAGGGTCTGCAGCAGCCACCAACTTGGCATGGGCTTGTTGCGCGTACCTGCCCTTATCTTCAGCAACTGCATTTCTGAGGCGAGTCTGAATGATCTGAAAGGCAGCACAGGCTTCAGCGAGCATTCCTTCCACATCATGTAATGACCAGCCTTCATGAGACAAAGCGGCACCCCCTGACTGGCGACGTAGTGCCTCTTTAAGGCCGTGCAGACGCTTGATCCATTTGCGGCAGTGCTTGGAGCGATCAAGCAGCAGCTTGGTGCCTTCAGCAAGGAAAGGCCGGCATTTCCGTTGCTTCGCGGGTCTGGCTGCAGTACCAACCTGCTTAACGGCACAAAACAGCCTATCCGTATGCACATGGACATTTTCACCCCAAGGAATGACCGGCAGGCGACACAATCCTGCCCGGACCTGTTGGACATGTTCCTGCGGCCAGGAATCTGGGTCTTTGACAAAGGGCTGCGATTCCCTAGGGCCTTGAGGTGGTGGGCCGATAAGCTGCCGTGATAGATCAAGCTGAACGGGCACATGATCCTTGTTAAGAAGTTCAAAGTCTTCAAGAACAGCTGGACAGCAGGGCACCCCGTACCAGGATTGAGGGACGGCAATGTAATCAATGCGATAACCGTTGCCACTGGGAGAGAACCAGGTAGGTTCACTCGCTGAGGGAACACACTGGCCCTGGCTGTCAAAGAAAGTGGCAGGCAAATATGCAAGAGTTGTCGCCAACCATTCCTGTAGAAGGGAGCCGGCGGGGGTTTCAGTCACTCCAGCATGTCGGCCAACGTGCGGCGACTCGACTGATCCCAGCTGGGCGTTTGCATCCATGCAGGCAATGACCTTGCCACGATGGGGTCGCAACCAGGAGGCCTCAGTGAAGCC